GCGTCAACAACAAACGCATATGGTTAAGTTTAGCCAACAGAAACACATGGTTGGGTTTAGACAACAAAAGCACATGGCTTGGTATGGCTTTACAATCTTACAGGAAGTTAACACTGGCCTCCCAAGTGAAAGTCAGTGGCTGTTTGACCCATCCATCACCCCTCCCGCCTACCCTACCTGGACTTCCGCCGCAATTTTTTTGATGCCACCAGGCGCTGTTAAACAATAACGGCTACTGGCAGCGTACAATGCTGAGGTGAAAGAATGGCTTTTTTTTTAATCTGATGCCAGAACTCACTGACCAAGTGCCAGATTTCGATGATTTTGAAGTGAGACCAGGTTGATGATTATTAAGCCACAACGATGCAATTCTCTAAATATTTTAGAAACTGTTTTTCTTTGGGTCCTCTGCAGTCTACTCAGTGGTTAGACCAAATAGGGTTAAAATGTAGTTTGTGAGTCCATAGTATGTTCAGCTGATATTCCATGATCCAAGTCCAATAGGCCAAATCACAATGTTTGTTTACAGAAACTTCCAAGTAGAAAACCCCTATGTCACATACATCAAATGCAACGGCACTGAGCTCAGATGGTTAGTTTTTAGCCGCCTAAAAAACAACAATATCTGTTTAGGTGCACTATATTTAGAATATTTTCACTGCTTTCAATGAGGCTGTTATCTCAAAGCCATAAACAAAAACAGTCATTTTAGAAAGTGGGAGTTGCTGCCTCAATCAGTAAGTGTGTAAGGTAAAGTGGTGAAAGTATTCCCAATGTACAGTAGAGTATATTCAAAATGATATTGATTTCTTTTTTTTTTCTTAAAGTGGGTCTTTCTAGATGGCTAAAATATGTTTTGCTGCTGCCTCTGCTGCCGGCAATATATTGCTTACCTTCCATGCTGGTAGAGTTGGTTTATCAAAAACTATCAAAGCAACACAGTACATAAAATAAGCACAGCAGAAACATCAGACAGGTCAGACCACCTAGATTAACTACACATTTTTAAATGTTGCACTTATGGCTGAAAATAATTCAATTCAATTCAATTCAATTCAATTTTATTTATAAAGCCCAATATCACAAATCACACTTTGCCTCACAGGGCTTTACAGCATACGACATCCCTCTGTCCTTAAGACCCTCACAGCGGATAAGGAAAAACTCCCCAAAAAAAAACCCTTTAACGGGGAAAAAAAACGGTAGAAACCTCAGGAAGAGCAACTGAGGAGGGATCCCTCTTCCAGGACGGACAGACGTGCAATAGATGTCGTACAGAACAGATCAGCATAATAAATTAACAGTAATCCATATGACACAATGAGACAGAGAGAGAGAGAGAGAGAGAGAGAGATGCAGGTAATGACAGTAGCTTACAACAACATTAATGAAAGTAATAATATTATAGTTATAGTTCTGGCTACTGTGGTACAATATGTTGAAAGTATGTATTAATATCTGACAGTATACTTGTGTGACAATAGTCATATGTGTATAATAACAGTAGAAGTATGACTAATGACTAATGATGGCAGCAGCAGCAGGAGGCATCTGGCAGGACCACGGCAGCAGCACAACCACACACGTCACACTGTCCAGGCACCGCTGCGATATGAGTTATTCTGAAAGACAGTGGAGCACAAAGGCTCCGGAGAAGAAGCCGAGTTAGTGACATCCAGAATGGCCGAGTTAGCAAGATGCAGTAATAGGATGAGAGTGAGAGAGAGAGAGAGAGAGAGAGAGAGAGAGAGAGAGAGAGGGAGAGAGAGGGAGCCCGGTGTATTATAGGGGGTCCTCCGGCAGACTAGGCCTAAGTCAGCCTAACTAGGGGCTGGTACAGGGCAAGCCTGAGCCAGCCCTAACTATAAGCTTTATCAAAGAGGAAAGTCTTAAGTCTAGTCTTAAATGTGGAGACGGTGTCTGCCTCCCGGACCGTAACAGGAAGATGATTCCACAGGAGAGGAGCCTGATAGCTGAAGGCTCTGGCTCCTGATCTGCTTTTGGAGACTTTAGGGACCACGAGTAACCCTGCGTTCTCAGAGCGCAGTGTTCTGGTGGGATAATATGGCACTATGAGCTCTCTAAGATATGATGGAGCTTGACCATTTAGAGCTTTATAAGTTAACAGTAGGATTTTAAATTCAATTCTGGATTTTACAGGGAGCCAGTGCAGAGAAGCTAAAACAGGAGAAATATGATCTTGTTTCTTAGTTCCTGTTAGTACACGAGCTGCTGCATTCTGAATTAGCTGGAGAGTTTTTAAGGACTTACTAGAGCTACCTGATAATAGAGAGTTACAGTAATCCAGCCTTGAGGTAACAAAAGCGTGGACCAATTTTTCTGCATCTTTTTGGGTCAGGATAGGCCTAATTTTCGCAATATTACGCAGATGAAAAAATGCAGTCCGTGAGGTTTGCTTTAAATGAGAATTAAAAGACAAATCTTGATCAAATATTACTCCGAGGTTTCTTACGGTAGTGCTAGAGGCTAGAGCAATGCCATCTGGAGAAACTATGTCATCAGATAAAGAGTCTCTGAGTTGTTTGGGGCCAAGAACAATAACTTCAGTAACAACAGGAATACACAAGTTTGCCAATTTTCCAAATCTCCACAATTCAAAACAATTGCCAGTTGTCAGCCTGGCGCAAAAGCACCACACTTGTTCATTTCAGCTTTTTATAGGTATTATTGTGCATGTGACACTGAAACAGGAACCATTTCCTATTGCACACATTATGATGTTAAGCGTCCAGTTTCTTTTGCAAATGACTGGTGATTTCTTCTGCTCTTATTCAGCTGTTGCTCTGAGGGATCTTCTACATAGCATGCAGGTGCAGTTCATTTTAGGGGCTGGATTAGTGCCAGGTGATAAAAATGTTTTTGTTGATGATGTTGAGGTTAGTCAAGTTTGAATGGGGATTTTAACTGAGTCAAGGGTGATAATAATAGTTAATCCAAGAGAGAGCTTTTACTAAGAGATAAACTGTCACTTTGGCATGAAGGTATGACAGTGAAACCTGTTACAGTTTTTCTCAAATGTTTACCTGCAATTTTGAAAACAGGGCTCCTTTTTTCAAAATATTCACACAACTATCCAAACACCACACTCAATTTGCATAACTTCTAGATTGTTTGCAAAATGACACACTTCAGTCAAAACATATACACTTCAGTCAAAACATATACACATATTTATAAAAATGCTGTTTTGTTTTCATCTCACTAACACAGTCTTCAAATGATCAGACACTATTGCAGTCAGTTACACACTACAGTGATCAGTACAAAATACATTTGTAAAAACCCCTATTTTAGGAAATAGCTGGTCTAGTGCTAGACTTTTTTGCCAGACATTTTTATGTAAGGGATAATTTAGATGACAAAAAGATATTGTCAAACCCACAACATTCTTCATGATTACTTTGAGGTATACAGAGAAAGTACACAAATACAACAAACACAACACTGATTGCAGACTGCTGCAGACTGAAAATATTTATTTCTTACCATACTCAGTTACAGTAACAGATCAACAATGAAAATCAGAACAAAATAGTAGTTTTTCTTACTACTGTAAAGTGTAGGCAAATAAAAATTCCTCTACTGGGTTTAGGAATGGGGAGTATGGTGGAAGGTATAAGACTGCAAATTCAGGGTGCTCATGGAACCAATTGTGGACCAGCGCAGATAGATGGAAAGATACATTGTCCCAAACAACAATGTACTGCATGTGGTCCACTTGGTTTACAGTAAGCACCTGTGTGCTTCCACACCAGGTGGATGTGATTATCCAATTCGTTCATTAGTGTGGTCGTTGGCAAGCAGGGGCTTTATAATGAGAAGGAAGTAACCTCACAATCCTTATCTGTGTCTAAGGTGTGATAATGCGGGTAGAGTTTTGCAAATCACTGTGTGTAATGTTTTGCAAAAAGTGTGAAGCTGAGTCTGTGCTTATTGTTGCGCAACTATGGACAAGTGTTTTGCTTCTTGAGTGTAAAGAGCTGTTAACTGTGTGAAAATTTTCATTTTAGTGCGTAAACAACTGTAAAAAACTGTAAGTGCCTCGTGGGGAGGGGGAGGGAATTTGATTTTTTCCCTAACCAATCAGTAGAGATCAACGACTCACCCAGAATCTGACGTCATTAGTATCCATGCCTCGGGGGTGCCGAAAACAAGCGAGCATTGCCTGTTTAAAATGTCTCCGTCGTCGTGCACGCCCAGCTGCATCGCTGTTAAATCCAGTTTAGCAGCTTCCTTAATTTGGTCCTCCAATAACGCGAGTAGTGGCGAAATACCTCGATAGCATCGTTAATGTGGTCTGTAGGATCTGTAGCGGTCGCCATTGTTGCTATCCTCACCAGTTACCCACCGGCGTACAGCTTGACATCAGCGTGGCGCTGATTGGCTAATCGCTAGACCCGCCTCCACCCCTGGCGTTCACTGGTCCGTCCAGCGTTTGGACGAGATAAATCGCAAATTCATTGAAGTATGCCAGACCAGAGATGCAAGCCTACTCAGTTGAGTGGGCGGGGTCTATGGTCTGGAACCAGGCTACCTTACCCCAGCATTTACAGGAAAAGCTACATGTGTGTGTGTGTGTGTGTGTGTGTGTGAATAGTTAGAAAACCATGACGCAACATCAAAAAATAGTAGTAGATTTCTTTATTTAGAATAAAGTAAAATAATTTCTATATCAACGTAAACTAGACATGTCTGGCAATCAGCCTGCAGAAAACAGAGTTGTTTATCTCTCAAGTGAACCCAACAGTTGCATGTAAATTACCAACAGCATGCTGGATGAGGCTAAAAACACCACCTGACAAACTTGGCTCTGATTAACCTGATGAGCTTAAAGTCTTACATGCAAATGCCTGTTTGTGTATGTGTGTGCGAGCGTGTGCGTGTTGATGCACTTAACGTGACCATCTGTGCGTGCTGAAGAAGAGAGAGGGAAGAAACCCCCCAATCCGTCTTATCCTCTCAGCTCCTTACCATCGCAAGTCTTGGTAGGTAGTCAGTTCACTCAACAGGTTGCAGATGACTTTCCTGCACTGTTTGACTGCAACAATTCTGAGGAGAAAGCATACATTGATTGAAGAGATATATGGAGACTTGCACGTGGAGGCTTGACAGACAAAAGGACAGAGTTGGAGGATTCTAGAGGACCTTGTCAAAGCAACTACAGACATCCTTACCTATGGATTTACACTTCGGCTTTCACCTATTTTCCTGAATCATTTTTCTTCAGAGAAGAGATTTTTCAAGGTTTTCTTGAATAACTTCTGAATGCAAACATGGGCTGCTCTCCATCCAAAGGAAAGTTATTTTCAAAGCCAGAAGGCCCCAGTCCTCAAAAGGCTCTGCTGGCTGAAGCACCACAAGATGGTGTTGATTCAAGACCTGAAGAGGAGAGGGATAAATGTTTCGAGACTGATGAGAAAGAAAATGAACTTCCTCGACCCACTGAAGAACATTCTACAAAAGACACTGCATGGTCTCAGATGGACTGCAACACAACAGATGCCCAAAACACAGAGGACATTAAAGAAACAGAGGTGAATGTGATGCCCCAAGAAATAGTCCATGAGGTTTTACAAACAGATAAGATTAAAAAGACAGAGAAAAGACAGAAAAATAAAGGCAAGAGAAGGTCTACTGACAAGCACAGAAAATCCTCTATCGTCCAGAAGAAGGTTGACTTCCCACCACACATGGTGAGGGCTCACCAGGCAGCCTATGCCTATTTAAACCCAAACATCTCTAAATATGAGACCCTGTTGGGCCTGCTGGACCAGGCTGCCCAGACACAGCTTGCTCTCCAGCCTGCAATGTCTGCTTTGGTGTTCCGGTTCGAGGAGATCAACCAAGCTTTAGAGGAGATGGCTGAGGAGGGGGAGCTCATGTTGAAGGAGCATGGGGACTACATGGCCTTGCCTTCTGGGATGCTGGGCCCAGTTGTTATGCCAGCTAAATCTATGACTGACACAGCCAACCCTGCAAATCCACATCCAGATCTGTTACAGCAACTGCTCAAGCATTCAACAGAGAAAATGAGACTTGTGGGGGGCTCGGTCCAGGCACTGGGTGACACCACGCTTGAAGAGGCAGTGGAGTATTTTTCTTCTGTCTCTAAACTGCTGATTGAGAAGCTGCAGGCCAAGCAGGCAGCAGAGCAAAGGTTGACTCAAGTGCTGGCGCGGGTGGAGGGGGCTTCCATGAGGAAGTCTAATCCAGAGGATTCTGCACTGCACAGTGAGGACAGCGGCATCGGGGGAGAAAATGAGAGTCTGACAGGGTCTGAGAGGCACCGCCGCCACCGCGGGAGCGCCGGATCTGGAAGTTGTGGATCTGGAAACAACATTCGAGGTGCATCTGATATTCTGCACAGTAATTTACACAACCTGGAAGGCTATAATGAAGATGATGAAGAGGACGAGGAGGACGATGATGATGATGATGATGATGAAGAGTATGAGGATGATGAAGGGGACAGGCCTGAAAGGAAGAGGTCTAACTCTTCCCCACCAGATCCCAGTCAACCTCTTCTTTTCATGTGTGCAAGTTACATGCAGGATCGGCAGCCTACAGTCAAACGACCCCTGACTGCTATCTCTGTAAACAAACCTGAACACTCTACATCCACCAGGTGTGTAAACATAATGATTGAGCTACAAAAGAGCCAGAGGGACTTGGATCAACGAATGAAGAAGATGGCTGAAATCCGAGGAGAGAAAGAGATAGCAGGGCCTCATTATAACCTGTATAGAGCTGGACTAAGACGGCATTCAGTAAGTGGATCAGCTCAAAAAGGCCCCCTCAGAATAAATCAGTCACCTGGTTCCTTACCAATGTTAACACCTCAACCACCCAAGCACCAATCAGTCAGAAGGCTGATAAATACCTTTAGCCAAGGGGTTGATGGTAGACCAGGGCAGAGCCTTGCTAATATTCCACCTCATATCAGGAGGCCCAGGAAAACTGGGATCCTTCAGTCATCTGCCACAGTGAATAGTAATGAGGGGGGGTTAGTCATCAATGGCAACAATAATAACAACAGCTGGCCTGAAGGGAGGGATGACCTAGATGTAGACAACCTACCACCTCCGCCCCCAGAGGTCCTCATGGACAATTCCTTTCAGAGTACTGAGGGCATACCAGGAAATAAAGAAGGGTCACAGGAAGATTCGGTTGTACATCTCCCAATAATAAACCAAAAGAGTGGCGTCTCCCAGCGCCTAAAGTCATCTGTGCAGAATGTTGAACTGCTGCCAAACAAAGCCAGCATGAAGCCAAGATCGATCAGTATCTCTTCTGCCTGTCCTGTCAGACAGGATGCAGTTATGGGAGCACAAGATACAGAGCAGCAACCAGAAACTGATCTGGATCCAGAAATGGAGAAGGTTAACTGTCACTATCAACAGGCACGTAAGATGAATCACCCGCACAATGCAGAGGAACCCCCTGATAACAGAGATATTACAGAACTAAGCGGAAGAGGAACTTCGCCTATTCAAATTAGAATGAGCCAGAGATGTGGAAGCAATGACTTCACTGAGGGGGAGATGTCCACTTACAGCCTGCCTATAACAGCACCACCTGTCTCTAGAGTCCGCCTACCACCATCTTGTCCTTCTGTGTGCCACAGATTCCCAAGCCCTCCTGTGTTCAGACCTCAGTCTGCCTCAAAGCCCTCATCCCGCCCAAGTTCTCCAAGAACGGTTACACGTGCCACAGATAACAACATTGAAGAGATCATTCCATCTGTGTCCTTTCGAGATGCCCGCTCAGTTTTCTGTCAAAAGGACTCTAAGACCTGCATTCCTCCTGGAAGTTCTGTACTTCCCAAACCATGGGGTGAGGCCTCCCGGGGCAGACTTCCCATGAGAGGGATAGACAACAATGCCCGTCGCACCCAATCAGAACAGAGGCCTAGTGTGACTTCCTATTCAGAGTTTACTAAAGATGGCTGTTCAGCCTCCACACAGCCCAAGGGGAATGAGCCTGTTACCACAAAATATAGGTAAGTAATATCACAAAGTTGTGGGTCCAGGTAAACTTCACTGGGTTTTGTAGCTGTTTCATTGCTATGAAAGAAAACCTGACTAGTTAACAATACAAGTGTTACTTGGCAAAACTGAGCATCAGTGTCCATTGTTTAACTTGTGCACTTGTCGAGTCTTAACTTGGGTTTTGAAGCAGCAATTAGATACTATTAAAAATCTGGTATTTTGTATATTCTTCTAAAACATGACAGTTTCATGGTGTCCATGTAGCTAAAGTTCTTATAGTCTACAAAAAAATTGCAAGAGTTTGAAACGGGAAAGGGTTAGATCCTTGTGATCAGGGTTTTATTAGTGTAATTAAAGCAGTAAGTAAGGTTAGTTTGACCTTTGGTGGTTGTTTACTTTTAATCAGGAGCCACCTGTGTGGATTCCACCAGCTGTCTGCATTATTGTTTAAGTGAATGACATCAACATGTCTGATCATCTGCATTCCCAGCAGACAAAACCAATCTGGTGCCACACCTGGTTTATCTATTTGTATGTGCTACAATAGGTCCCCTACTTTATTTGTAAAATAGCCCTCAAGTTTTTCAATAGCTTGTCTTTCCTGATCAAGTTTTGTGGGAGTTGTAAAACAGGACATCTTGTTATTGAAACATAAATCAATTGATGTCAGCTGCATATTTGAAATATAACTGGCCTGACTTATACCTTCGACTTAAGTTGTGAGAAAAGTTCAACTATACTGTAATGAAAGCAATGAAAGAATGAAAGACAACATGTACTCGCCTACTGTAACAATGCTCTGTTGTCAACCAAAAATAATTCTTGTCAGGATAACAAGGCCTTTGATGTAGCATTTCTGCCCTTTCAAGTTCTCTGGAACTGAAAGCATTCAGCAGCTCTCCAAGGCATAATGACAAATTGAATCCACTGAATAAAGTGTACGAAGACAATGAAACTCCAGGATTGCACTTAAATTCCGATTAGTCATATGTAACAAGCTTTTCAAAAGTCTTTGTTTGATGGAAGGTGGCCTTTTACAGAACGGAGACAAAAAAGGGATGAGACATACTATATATGCTGCGGTTGATAGGAGAATGGAGTGGGGTAGGGATTGTGGGTGGAAACAGCTAATATACAAATACAGAAAAAATAACAAAAAAACAGACTCACTGACAATATAATTACAATAGTAGTATCAGTGGTGTAGTGGTAGTTAATAAGGTGGGTGTACTACTAGGTAGATTGGAAGGTTATTGAGGAGGAAGTGGGTATACTTTTCCATACATTTCAATTTTTTGGACTTTTTTTGGCTGATAGGTGGGTATACTGTAAACAGCCAGGAAAGGAGGTGTGTATACCATGTATACCTGCGTGTACCCTCCACTACACTACTAAGTATATTATAGTTCAAAGAAGTGCTGAGTGTTTTTGTATATGTTTTAGTTAGATGAACATGTCAGTGTATCTACATGTATGTGCTGTATACTGTATGTATATGAATGTATGTTTGTATGAAAATGTGATAAAGAACAAGGGGCATGGGGACAGAAAAATATTTAAAATGCCATAAAATTTAAATTAAAAGCCTGATCCCAGTTAATGCCCAGTCCCTTTAACTAGCCCAGTGTGGCTTCACACTGACAAATACACACCTGTCTCAATTAGGCACCTGGTCTGGTTGTCAAGTCGTTAATTTTTTCATAGAAGTTCTTCTGATGTATAAAACCCGGTTGTTGGCTACCTCAAATTATGTGTCCATTCCTCAATTATCCTGTAAGTTATTCATACTTCTTTACTCTTAAGGGCCCTCAGATCAAAATAATCAAAAATGTTTTTCATTCAAATCAATCAAAGTTGTGATTATTGTTTTAACAGGTTAAAGTGGTGTGTCGATATGCTGGGTGCCATAATCCTCAAATACTGTAACTCTCTCTATCTGATGTGCTGTCTGTCAGAGCTAGATCAAATGGATGATTCATAATTGATATATAATCTGAAGCCTAATCATTAAAGTAATATTCATACTGGTTTAAATCAACAATTCAGTTGTATTTCCCATCTTTGCTGGGCAACAGTTTTGTGTGAAAGGAATTAAAGGCCTGTCCCATATAGGCGCCTGTCTCAGATATAGGCCCTTTGATTTCAGTTATTTAAACTAATTATAGGTAAGCAAATAAACTTAAAGGAAAGAAAGAAAGAAAGAAAGAAAGAAAGAAAGAAAGTAAAGTTGGTAGGTGGGGTAAGGTTGACGAGGTAGTTGTTGAAAAACACATTACATGGTACAAAATTTGCGAGAATTACATGCTGGCAACACGAAAACAATGTCAATGCAAAGTCTTTTATGAACTGGCGCAGTTTCATCAGGAAATGGTTACAGTTTGGTTAGGTTTAGGGAAGTAAAAACATTTTAAAAAAAATACTTGGTTAGGTTTAGAAAAACATTGTGGTTTAGCTTAAAATAACTACGTAAAGGACATCAGTTATGTAAATTTTGCGTAGTTACATAAAGTCCATAAAGCTACATTATTACATTAACTTTTGGTTTCACATGGGACACAAACAGTGGTCTTCTGGTTGAAAGTCCATATTTGTTTGACCCATCCATCATCCCTCCCACCCACCCTATGAGGACTTCCTCACTCTTTATTCTAAATTCATCTGTCCACCATAACAAAGGATCCTCACTGAGTTTGCATTGGCACTGTTTTCTTGTTGCCAGCATGTAATTTTAACACATTTTGTGCCCACCACAATGTAACGGTTGGTTAAGACTTTGTGTCCATGTCACATATTTCTGAGACCAGGCTGGAGACCAATATATCCCAACTTTTAGTCCCTAGTATGGGTCAAGCATCAAAAACAATGCATTCTATACTTAAACACATATTCTGTGGTCCGGTCCTGTGTAGTGGAGATAAGGAGTCTATTATATTTTAGCCTTCAGTCTCATTTGTTAGTTTTTAACAGTTTCACCATCTATGATTTATATCTCCGTAGAGCTTTACTTCTGAGGAAATTAACGGTAGAGATTTAGTCACTGCATTCATTACAAAGTGTTTGGACACCTGCAGCACAAGCTACAGTTGCTCTTCAAACTTAGTCACAGTGCCCAGTTGTATGTTACCAGCTTACCTCATCTCTCCAGAGAAACCACCTGGCCTAATCCAGAAAGGATTAGCCCTCCTACCCCACTGTCCTCCCCTGCTGAGCTCCTAGGCCTGCTACCCCACATAATCCACTCATGCACTAAAACTCCTTTTACCCTCCTCTCTTGCTCTCCTATAGGTCGGGCAGCCCTCTGATGACAGGAGACGATGCCCAGTTGGATCCAAGTGCCGCTGTGACTACAGCCTAAAGGCCAGCTGTGATTGGCCAGGGTTGCTTAAGTGAAATACGATGTGGATGAGGGAATGAAGAAAGGGATTATGGATTAGCAGGAGGTTTAGTCCCTTTCACTTTTCTTCCCTCTCTTGATAAAATTGGTTTGTTCACAGGCAGGTTTTAGATACATTTATATTAAATCAGGCAGTTGTGAAGGGCCTGAACGTTTCTTTCTGATTGACTTCTAAAAACATTGTCAGAATTTGTCTGTATCAGTTTTTAGAAGAGCATATTTAATCTGTACTAAATGTTGAATCTATAATCTACCTTGAATTTGTTTGAAGTTGAAGATACATGTATAAATTTTGTTATTCCAGCCACTGGCACCCCAAATCTCAAATGTCTCCTTAGCTCTCTGTTGAACGTCAGAGCTGGGAGAAAACTTTGGGATTCTGGGGTGCTCTTAGCTGCTCTACCAAAATCAAAGAGAGTACGCCTTTTACTTATGTAATCAGTTGAACTCAAATGTTTTTGTATGTATCATATTTTGTGTTTGGACCATTTGTACTAGCTTCCCATTTGTGTTAACCATGTTTTCTACCTCGACTGTGTCCCAATAAAAGAAAAAAATCTGACCAAAGCCATGCTTACCATGTCTTTTCTTGAATGCTGTTTGTGGGAATGTTCAGCTGTTATTGCCACCCAGTGCATCATTAGAAACATGGTATGCTACAACAAAATCATTGAAGGTACATTGTAGAGTTTTTGTAAATGACCACCGGTGTGTCACTGTGTTCTGCATACTGAGGACTGCGTTAATATAGTGCTAGCTTAAATATATCCTCGTCTTAGCGACCACTAAAACTGCTTTACAACCATAGACTATCAAAATGGACGTAGCCACTACAATGTCACCGATTGGTTTGTGGGCTCTCATTTTGAAGCCTCGTGTTTGGCATTATGGCTGTTGCCATTTTGGATTTTTGGAGCCAGAAGTGACCATATTTGGACAAAAAGTCCTAATACTAGCTGCTAGCTCTGTTGGCATGATACAGTCTGTGGATAACTGTTATAATGCTAATGCTCATTTTTCCTAGTGAAAAACAGGCTTAAAAACATTAAAACAAAAGATACTTTCCAATGAACATTTGACTCATGAAACATTTTCTGAAAACGTACAAATATACAAGATACAACAGGGCAAATAGGCAGGTAGGAGTAATTAGTTATATAAATAATAAAACAGAGCACATTTTCAAAAATAACAGCATTTACTGATGCAATCATCCTGTGTTGCTCAATTTGCTGAATGTGCTCTCTGTTCAAAAAGGGGTTCAAAAAGTGGGGTCATGATGTTATTTGGCCATCAAAGTGCAACCATATGCTGAACACAACTTTTTAAGCGACCAAGATGTTACAATTAACTTTCATGAACTAAAAACATACTGAAATAGTGAAGGCTACAGCTACACCGACACAGTGTGAATCTGGGGTTACGCCAATCAACATTGCCATGGTAACAAACTTGCAATGAACAGCACCAACTTGCCATTATGTGAAACTTTAAACCTTAATAACATTTAAACAGGTTGTTATATGGGCAAAATATTTAACCCTCTTGCAGCTGTCACAAATGTTAACTATGGAGAGCAAAACTTTTTTTTCCCTACCAGGCTATAAACCTGTTTATTTCTGCTGTGAAGCTGAGCATTTTAACATGGCTGTCTATGGGAATAGAGTGTGCCAGTAAACCTGGAACTCCATTAGCGCTTTTAGCACTTCCAGTTCTCTCGTCTAAAAGTCAATACGTTTTTTGAATGGGATTTTGGTAAAATGCCTCAAATAAGGTCTGTGGTTAACAGAAGCTTAAGCGAGTTTCAGGTTTTGTTCTACGACATAGAACACGTCAGTAAATACCCTACTTGTGAATTTTGAAGCTTTTACTTGTCGTAAAAAAGGCGGTTGCTAACAAGTTGCTCAATACAACTACAAACCCTGTCGGGGACATTAAACGTAATCACCCCCGAACAGGCGAGAGTGCTGGCAGTCCGCCATTACAGCTTCTTATTTAGCTTAAACAGTCCGATTTCCAAATTATACAATGTTTTTAAAATAAAGCGGCCGAAATCAGTTGAAAGCTTAGTGGCGGTGACGTCAAGAGTCATGCGACCGTGGAGTAGTCATGTAGTCCGTTAAAGCCTAACGTTAGCTTTTTACTTCTGGCGATTGCATTTAAGCTTCAAATGCAGTATGAAAGGTGTTCATATGTGAAGATTATCTCACTGAACAAAACCTGTAAGTATCATAAACTTGTGTTAGCCACAGAGGTTATTTTCTGACATAATCCAAAACGCAATGCAAAAATCACATTCACTTTCTCTTCCGGGAACCAGCGCAATGCTAAACTTCCGGGTTTTGACGTCAGCCCTGGCACACTCTATTATCTCGCTTCCAGAGGTGGGTAGTAACTAGTTACATTTACTCAGTTACATTTACTTGAGTAACTTTTTGGATAAATTGTACTTTTCAGAGTAGTTTTAATGCAAAATACTTTTTACTTTTACTTGAGTTATATTGTTTTAAAGCAACAATACTCTTACTTGAGTACAATATTTGGCTACTCTACCCACCTCTGAGTACATAATTACATATATATATATATGTACAGTATATATAAGAATATATTTGTGTTTCTTGTGCCTTGATTTATGTTATGTTTGTAAAGACTTAATTTATTTTTGTTTTAGTTAAAGGGGTATCGTTTAAAATACATGAATTTGCAGATTATTATTTTTGATTGATTGATTACGTTCATGTTCTTATTTTACAAATAAATCAGACGTTACTCAACAGTTACTCAGTACTTGAGTAGTTTTTTCACCAAATACTCTTTTACTCTTACTCAAGTAATTATTTGGATGACTACTTTTTACTTTTACTTGAGTAATATTGTTCTAAAGTATCAGTACTCTTACTTGAGTATAATATTTGGCTACTCTACCCACCTCTGCTCACTTCTGGAGCCCTCCTCAAGTGGGAATTTGAGAAACTGCAGTTTTTGTCACTTCTGCAAAGGCTTCATTTTTCAGCCCAGAGGTCACCGCTTCTTTACAACACATGCCAATGATGTTAACATCTTTAAAATCCCACAGACACCCCATTTAAGTCAGGCTTCCTGTTATACATTTTAAGTCTCCAGCCTATCATCAGCATTACTGTCTTAACTTAGGCAAAGCTCCACAAGGGCCAGAGGGCTATTCCACAGTACTTTTAAATTTACTTGTGTTACATATGTAACAAATTTACTATGTGTTACATATCAGTACAGTGCATCCTTAAAGGTACCCTGTGGAGTTACATGTCAACGAACACGTCGTACATGTGATATAAATGAAACACGGTCATCAAAACATTGTTCCATAGCACCACCAGTGGTCAGAGACTCCACAGGGTGTCTTTAAACAACAACCTTTTGCACTATAACACAGGTCTGTCTAGATATTATTGCTACACATCCCAGACAGGGCCCTGTTCTCCAGTCATTATTAACTCAAATCACTTTACAGCAGCCTGCAGCTACCATGTATCGTGATGACTGTATAGCTTCTAGAAACTGACCTCCTCTATAGGAGTTTAAGTGACTCACTTATATGGTTATGTTTACAAAAGACTGTAGTGGAATGTCTCAGTTTAGTTAGGTGAAAAAAATCAATGATAATCACATACCACCACAGCATGTTGTGTGCAAGCATCAATGAATAGGAGCAGGGACTCTTGAACTGAGTTGAACACTGAACATTGTTACAGATCTTCGTGAAGAAATGCTGCCATCTATTGTCTTGCATTGCCAAGAGGAATGTCCATTTACATTCCCTGCTTATAGCCTCAGATGATATCACTTATTTCATCTTTGTTTTTTGTTTTTTTGTTGTTTTTTTTTGTCCATACATTTTGCTTTATTTCTAGGAATTATTTTTCTTTTCTCCCTTAATTTTGATCTCTGCCAAGATTTAAACTACTGATTACCTAGAGTTTTGCACTTTTCAACATGACCATGTCCACTAATGGGACTGCATTTTATAGTGCTGTTCACCCTGCCGTTCAAGGTAGGGGCAGTTTCTTGCTCAAGGACACTTTGCATTTAGACAGGAGAAGGTAGGGATCAAACTACTGACCCTGTAATAATAAAAGACCCCCGACTGCACCATTTAAGATGACCTGTAATAAGTGTCCTGAATGTGCTCCAGGGGATTCTTAACAAAATGAGGAATCACTGATACCAATCACAGGAAATTATCACTGCCATATCATTTGCCATAAAAATGACATTCTATTTCCTTTTTAATAGTCAATATTCAATATCACCGCCCCACAATTAACACTGAAGATCGTATCCAGCCCAGAGTCTCCAATTTATTAGTCACCTTTCAGGTAAAATCTCATCAGACGAAAGTTTTAGGCCCTTGTGTATGTGCTCACAGAAAGCAATTTTAACACATGCATTTTTTCAGTTTGTATGCCTGTCAAAAGATAGAATAATTCATTAGGTGTTAAGAAATAATTAAAACAGTAAATTATGGCCAGCACTGAGTCCCACGCATTCTCTGTCTTCAAATAACATCATAGTATGCGTATTTTCAGAAAAGGACATGTTTATATAAATTAAACTAAGCTGCATTTATTTGAGTTGGCCTCAAATAAATGAGTTTTTCTTTGAAGTGGCTGTATACAAATGATCTTGACTTCTTCATGGCCGTTTTGTCATAATGCAGCATTATTAGAAATAATAGAATATATATTTATTCAGTGGCATATATACTGAATATGAAAGAGTTATCCTCTATTACCATTAAAACCCCAAATCATACCTTTTGTTTTGGAGAAGCTTTATATCTAACTTCTACAGTGAGTTACTGCTTTATATGCAGCATCTTACTGTCAAAACAAGCACACCGCAGATATTAGAGTCTGTGTTGGCTGTGCACAGCAAGAGTGCAAACGACTGTGGGCACAGTAACAGTGACACATTGGATGAGATGTCTGAACCCTGGTACTGCTTGTGTACTGTAAATAAGTGCTGTATTGATGGCATTTTCTTGCCATAGATTTGCCCTAGATGGGGGTGTTTACGATCCATTCTTTGTCCAACAAGTTATTCATTTATTCCCTGACTACAATCTAATGATACTGTAATTCAGAAACTGGTAAATACAATAACTTCCATAAGACATGAATATAGTTTTGCTTTTTTTATGCCTCCACACCGTGTCCAGGGGTATAATGTTTGTCAGTTGTCCATCCCATTCTCATGATAACTCAAGAACGACTTGAGAGAATTCCTTGAAATTTGTTAAAGACATCCACTTGGGCTAAAGGATGAACAGATTAGATTTTGGTGGTCAAGGTAACTGTGACCTTGCATTCATCTCATTCTTGTGAATGTAATATCTCAAGAACACCTTGAGGGTTTTTTTTTTTAATTTGCCAAAAATTCCACTTGGACTCAACAATGACCTGATTAGAAGTCACTGTGACTTTACAAAACATGTTTGTGGCCATAACTCAACAATTCTTTTGCTTAATATGGCAAAATATGTGTCTAATGGCATAAAATGATGACATTTTC